ACCAAAGAGCCACACAAAATCAGGAACAAGAGAGGCTTCTTTAGCCACTTCTTGCCACTCCTCGACTCCTTTGCTTTCTTTGAAGTAAGATTCGAGAGTTCACAAGTTATAGACATGGTCGACCCTTAATCTCAGATTCAGCTGCAGAAATTCAGATCTCTTCAAACCCAAAACTAAAACTCTATCAACAGAACAACAATCTCATGATGTAAAAGTTGAGTTCTTGAAACAACCCCAAGAAGAAGAAGCTGTGACATAGTCCCAAACGCAAAGCTTTTTCTTTTTAACTTACTTAAGACGCAAGACGACAAGATGAACCAAACCCAGTGGTTGTTGCAATGGGAGAAAGAAGACATTGTTCAGAGTAAAGAAATGGAAAAGAGAAAAAGGACAAAGCTTTATCTTCTTTCATGGTTTCAGGGCAAAAATGACAAAGCTTTCTCTGTTTCTTCTTATTTCTGATGTTTATGTGTGAAGAAAGAGCTTAAAGAAAACACCCAGCTGGTGTCTCTCATTACCCAACTGGACTCAATGATCAGACTTTGGATAAAACAAGTGCATTTGTTAGAAATTATGAGCAAAAGCTAAAAAAAGGAAAAAGAATGTCACTTCTCTCTTCTTTTACTCTACTTTTGATTATTATTATTTTTCTTGTCTTTTGGTGAATAAACATTTTTAAAATTGAGGTTTTTGGGTCCATGATTATCTCATCATCATCTAGGTGGGGAAGGTATTACAACATTTTCAGTTAAATATTAAAAAGGATTGGCTAATGAAAATATAAATAAAACTCAACTATACCAAGAATCAATACCCCCTTCTCCTAAAACCTACTCATTGTTATTTGTTTTTGTTGTTCTTTTTGGTATTTTAAAAATGTTTTTTTTTAGCATAGTTTAACATCTACTCTTAAGTCTTATCTATATAACGATGAGTGGGTTTTACGAGAAGTGGGTATTGATTCTATATACATCTTATTTCTTTTATCAGTTTATGTATCTTTGTCTCCCAACCATATTTATACATCTGATCTATTTTCTTAAGAAAACTCCTTTTAAAATTGTATTTAACTTGTGAAAATATATTCAGATAGAAAACCATGATTTTTGTATATATTTAAATAAATTGAAGAAAATATAGTTGATTTTTCGGCAAATTGTTTGTAATGGAATCGTTATTGTGTCCTCATCCAAATTTAAATTCGATATAATACATGTAATTGACCAAAAATATATATTGAAGTGATCTTCCAATGGTCTCAAGATCACCAACCAAGCAAAGACAAAGATGACCTTATAACTTTTATTATATTGTGTTTGCATGAAGCATGCCTATTTGGTTATAGTTGGATAGAATATTTGGTTTGAAAAATTCTGGTTTGACTCCAAAATTTCAAGTTATGTTGTTCCTCTTACACTCTATAGCTATCTATTTATCATTTAATCGAATTTTTTTTGTATGTTTGGAGTCTCTGGACTACTTTGGTATTTACATATCAAACCTCATTATTCTTCCCATTCCTATATATTATTAGTTGTTTAATATGTATTCCACCTAAAAGATCTGAATTGTAATTAGTTATGTTTTAAAAAAAAAGTATCGTCTATCAATTTTATCGCACCAATATTTTAGAATTTAGACTTTAAAACAAAATTGGAAATGACAAATAATACCCAGAGCCGGACCAAAGAAATTTGGGGCCCCATACGAATAAAAAAAAATAGCTTCGTAGTTTTTTTTTTTGGTTCAAAAGCATCATATATATAAAAAAAAAACTATAATAAAAACAATCACTTTAAGCAAAACTCTTGATTGTTTTAGAAATTTTTTAAGTAAAAACTTACTTTTTTAAATAATTCAATTATTTATAATAATTATAAAAAAGTTTAGACACATACAATATATATATATATAACCAAAAATATATAAAGGTTTACAAAAAAAAAAAAAAAAAATATTATGTGGGACCCATTAAAAATGGGGGCTCCATTGCATTGTTTCATAAAACTTTGCTCCGGTCCGGCTCTGATAATACCATAAGATTATTCTTTATATAAAAAAGCAATATTAAGATCTAGAATATTCTTCCGTTTCTGGGATTTACGGATTTATTTCATTGACGGCTTTTAATGACCACATTAGGACTTCAGGTTGTTGCGATAAAGCCGGGAAGACATCTTTTCAACTTTGAAGTAGAATTCTGCAAAGAAGTTTTATCCAAGATACGTTCTACACTCAAAGACTCGCAATTACCAAAAACGTACGAAAATAAGATTCCACGTAATAAAAATCTTGTGCTTAAACAAAAGAGGTGTCAAATGTTTCATGATCAAGATTATTGGAAGATAATGAGTTCGTTTAGTCACAATCGCCACCACCCCCACACTGGCAGAAGCAGTTTTAACGCAAGAAGTCTTGAAGAAATATATCCTCAAGGCAGCTGCGATATCTCACCTTCAACGACTAATGAGTGCTCATTGATTGTAAATTTGTAATATGAAACTTCTCCTTCTCTTTTATAAATTAAGCCTTGTTGTCACTATAGAGTTTGTGTATTTCACCAAAATCAATAAATGTAAATGTGGTTCCATACATAACCGATATATTGATTACAAATACAATGACACATGGGTAAATGCTATAAGGCAAACAAACTAACACGTGAAATGGCATTTGCATTATCATTTTAGATAACCAGCACAAGAATATCAAGAAGAATACTTGGTACGCAAGATACACGCCTTGTTTCCAAAATTATCTATAATATTTTTTTATCTCTTTTTTTATGATCATCCCCTAATTTGAGAATCAACCTAAGAAAATGGTGGGTATTGATGTATACGCAATAGTGAAGACTGGGGCCTCACTCATTTTCTTCAAGTTTTTGGGGGATTTAATGAAAATTCAAGATAGGTGAACCCTATGTGAAGCCGTGGAAAACAAGCAGAATCAAAATGAGCTTATTGTGTTTGTATAATGATTTTCATGGGCCTCTTGATGTTGAAAATAGTATTTTTTTTTTGTAATTTTACGCTTTTTCTGTTTTAACAATGTCTATCCTCATCTTCTCATTTGAGTTACGCGTCATGTTATGCGTTCTTAGTTAGATACTTGTCTTTGTGTTTCTCTTCAATGGAAACAAAACGGTGAACTTTTTGAACGCGACCGTGAAATTTTTGAACGCGACCGTAAACTTTTTGGGTGTTATATCCAACTCATCGACGCCATTGTAGCATCAAGACTAGTGGAGCCTAAACTTCAAGTTTTCTTCTGTTCTAAATGTTTATGTCATCTTTGTTGCCTAATCGATGAAGTTTTGGTTGTATCCATAAGCATGATGGGTATAATTGATACAATCTCAATAAGGCATGTGCGTATAATCCGAATCCGAAAATCCGATTATAATCGATCCTAAAAATCCGAATCTAAATGGTTTAGGTTACTTAGTAGAACCCGATCGGATTTCATATAGAATATAACTCGGATTTTTATGCGGATCGGGTTATAACCTAAATCCGATCGGATATCCGCTAAACTGAAATAATACATACACATAATTACCTTTATGCTCAGATTTTTCATCCCATGCTAAGTTCGGATCGGGTAAAACAGGTAATTGGGTAATTCGGATTGGGTAAATTAAGTAATTCAGATCCAATTTCGGGTTTAATAGGATAATTAGGATAATTCAGATCCAAATCCGAACCAAAACCGAAATTATCTATGTTTCGGTTACACTTCGAGTTCCCAAAAAAAATATGTATCGATCCGAATCCGTAAAAATATGAACCGATCCTATCCGGAAATCATTCGGATCCTAATTGGATTCTAAACATCCCAATTTGAAATCTGAATGATCCAATCCAATCCGAACCCGAAATCCGAATGTCCATGCCTAATCTCAATCCTCGTTTCCTTATCTCTTCTTCAACGATTCTCCGCATTTTTTAATAATCAACCTCAAAGAAATGGTGAGTAATGATGAATATAAATTACTATAATTAAATTGATCTTATATATTCCTAACTGAAAAACAATTCAAATAAAAATTATTTTAAATCATCATATATTTCTACATTAAATCATGACACATGTCACAATCTAAAATTATTAGCACGATGATAGATCTTATATAATTCAAAACTGAATGTAGAAATCAAAATAAACTATCTAAAAATACAAAATCAAATTAAAAAAAATTATAAACACGGTGATATATAAATTTTTGATAGTTCAGCGATGAAAATAGAAATTAAATTAAACAATCTAAAAATGCTACAATTATAATTGACAACAAAAAAATATACAAAATTAAGTAAAACATATTACAAAAAAGGAAAAAACATCTATTGATCTCACATATTCCTAATTTAAAAAAGAAACTCAAATAAATAAACCAAGTTTTTTAGTAATTTTAATAATTCTTTTGATTACAATTTTTACTATATTATTTTGTATTTACCTTTTCAAAAAAATTTTGATTGTAATCTTTTTTAGTTTTAGATTGTAATTTATTGTATAATTATCTTTTAATTTGTAAATTTTTATATATCCTTTCAGAAAATATTAATGTAATTCGTTTACTTTTAAACTTTGTAATTTACTATATAATTGCATGTGTCAAAATCTAATCGAGAAATATGATACGTAATATTATGCGAGTGACTAACACTGAAACAAGTTTTATATAATAAGATTTTAAATACCTTGAACACACGAGTTCAAGTTTCTTGGATTACGTTCCTTTCTTTGTCTTAATCTCTTACCGGGTTAACAGAAAACCAAGAAACTATATTAGTTGTCACATAAAAGTTCTGCTTCGTCTGAAACAAATATCTTTGCAATCCATTATCCAAACGTTTTTGAAGCAAAAGTGACAAGTAAAAAAGCAGAATGACATTGGCTACATATTATACTAAAAGTTAATATAGAAAGAAGGAAATATAGAATCGTAAAAACAAGCAACATTGCTAATACAACACCTCCAATGAACAAACAGAGGCTTGCCTGTGTATATAGTTCCTGACATAATAATCCACAAATCTTTTCGATATAGAGTTGGGTTTCTACACTGAGTCAAAAACCGTTACATTGATAATATAAAGCTCTTACTCTTATCTCTTACGGCAACAGTGTTGTGAAGCAACTCTTCTGGTATAGCAGCTGGGTCCAAGTCCCAATAGTTTCTGGGCACACCACTAGTTTCTTCTTTAAGAAACCAAGATGGCACTGGATGCGAAAACCGCAGCATCTCTCTCCTTGTATCCATTTCTTGCTCTCCTCCGTATCTCTCCTGCAATACACGGTTTTGTATCCCTCTACTTTTACTAGCGGGGCGATGCAAACCCCAAACTGTTCAGAATATTCATCAAGTATCTCAACCATTTCGTACTGATGCCTCACTTCATCTAGAGTTGAGTTGTTCCAGTTTGGTGACCAGTTCTTGTACACATCCCAAATATCTCCGGTCTAGGGGAATATCCTAACACAACAACCACTTCCCGTTTTCTTGCCTTTCAAGAGATGGGAAAATATGTTAACATAATCAATTATGTCAGTGTTTCGTATCCGGAAATGTCCACACGACTTTGTAAACCCATACTGCACCCATTTCATTGTACCAAACTCAATGTCAGTTTTGGAGCTCAAGTAGGCTATGTCAATCTTAAAAGGTTGAACAGAGAGTACTTGCCGGACCATGCAATATAAGCGCAACATACCATCATCTTCATCTTAAATTGCCCATATTTGCCTAGCCTCAAAGCACTTCTTTGATCTGTTTTTATCAAAGTCATGGAAGTCGGAGTCTGGAACTGTTATTGGCCCATTTATTTTTCGAACAGGTGGATGACCAGAGGAAACATTTTGTTCTATTCTGGATATATCATCCCCTACCTTGTAGGGGGCACTTACTTCATCAAGGGGAGTCACGTCCTCGGTAGCCGCCGCTGCAGCTTCTGAAGCCAATCTCATTGTAACGCCCCGACCGTCCCTACCAGTGGGCTCTACGTCCTCTCTCAGGCCCATGGACCCACCCCTGTCCGACGGCCGGTCCGCTACGTCCGGGAGGCTTTAAAAACTTGTTTACCGACCCTACAAATCACCACATGATCTTTTCCTGTGTTTTGTCCTCACTCACACAGTTCCGACAATCACTTTCCAGAAGGTCACCCATCCTAAAACTACTCCAGTCCAAGCACGCTTAACTGTGGAGTTCTCTCAGGACGGTTGACCGAAAAGATAAGTGCACTTTGGTGACATAGGTGGCCAAATTAATTCTTTTAAACCTCTCCGCATGCACCACCATATTCCTGAAACAGGGGTGTTACATTCATAATCTCTAATCTTTGCTTAATATCTATTTTAGCTTTGTTAATCAATAGCTTCTGTGTATCCAATCCTGTTGCAGAAGACCACCGTCTCATTGAACCATAACTTTGCCCAGGATGTTTAAACTCATGTTCTATTTTTGCATCCAAATTTGTTGCTTTTGATTCTACATTAGATTTTGTAATGTTCTCAACAAATCCATTACCAGATGACCCCAACCCAACATTCCTCTACTTCTCAGGTCTGCTGGCCTTAATCACTGAAGAAGGATCAACAGACCAAATGGGTTGGCTTGGATATATTAGATCAGATGTTGTGCCTTTCATCGAGCTTGTCCTGTTAGAGCCTTCTTTAACCTTCCTTCTTCCCCTATAGGCTACTCCATTGGTGAACTTATTAGGATATTCGTTAGATACTAAAGACATTCACTTTGACTCCAGATTCCCAGGAGATGTTCCCACATATGAGCTCCAGTCTTATGACTCATTTGTAACATATTCATATCCATGTGCAAGATACTGACCTAAGAAATAAGTGGAATTGGTAGGCATGCGTGAGACGGCATCATAGCCATGAGCTCCATAGCCATTACATGTTGTATGAGATGAAGGCGCATATTGAAGTGATGCACTAACAGGAGCCGACCTAGTATCCACAGAAATAAATGCTCCTCGACAGTTCTTACATGACAGCCTCTTATTCACATGCTTCCGTAGATATTCATACTGAACTTTGCACGATGTGCATACAGTCCAGAAAGTATCAAGTCTTTCTGTAGCTGGTGGACAACTGTAACACCCCGGTTTTAGGAATATGGTGGTGCATGCAAAGAGGTTTAAAAGAATTGATTTGACCACCTATGTCACCAAAGTGCACTTATCTTTTCGGTCAAGATGGGTGATCTTCCGGGAAGTGATTGTCGGAACTGTGTGAGTGAGGACAAAACACATGGAAAGATCATATGGTGATTTGTAGGGTCGGTAAACACGTCTTTAAAGCCTCCCAAACGTAACGGACCGGCCGTTGGACAGGGGTGGGCCCATGGGCCCGAGAGAGGACGTGGGGCCCACTGGTAGGGATGGTCGGGGTGTTACAAGGGGTATCAGATCCGAACCCAGACAAGTGTGGAGTCAAGAAGGCTCACACCGTAGGGGGTGACGGTCTTGGTGCGCAACGAGGACGTTGGGATCTGTTAGTGGGGGTGAATTGTAACACCCCCGGTTTCGGCCACCTATGTCACCAAAGTGCACTTATCTTTTCGGTCAACCGTCCTAAGAGAACTCCACAGTTAAGCGTGCTTGGGCTGGAGTAGTTTCAGGATGGGTGACCTTCCGGGAAGTGATTATCGGAACTGTGTGAGTGAGGACAAAACACAGGGAAAGATCATGTGGTGATTTGTAGGGTCGGTAAACAAGTCTTTAAAGCCTCCTGGACATAACGGACCGGCCGTCTGACAGGGGTGGGCCTATGGACCCGAGAGAGGACGTGGGGCCTACTTGTAGGGACGATCAGGGTGTTACAACAACAATCGATTCCTGGGGGCGCGGGGGCATACTCTATACTATTCTTCTAAACCACCATGGAGTCGATAAGAGTCTTTCTTTTGTAATAAAAAGTGCTTTTCTTAAACTCACTTGACAGGAAACTCCAAGCAACTATACTACACTAAAATTAGGGTTTCTGATGAAGTGAAAGTTGTTTCAACACTCTTTGATTCACAAATCTCGAATGAATTTGCCGGTGAAAAATTCGAAATTTTGCCGTCGATCGGAAATCGAAAATTTAGGAGAAATTAACGATAAATAAAAATACGATTTTTATTTTTTATTTTTTGATATTTTGTGTTTAAGTAATTTTATTCACCAATGAAAGTAAACGATGCTAATTTGCTATTAGTACTTCTTGTTGCTATCGTGCACTGTAATGACCAGTGCGCTTTTATATATTTTTAATTGTTACTATTATTATAAATCATATATATCTAATATTCATAAATTAATGTGCTAATAATACATAATCGTTATGAAAATAATTGTAGGAGGCAAAACTTAAAACATGAAAACATATATTCTCCCGCCACTGCCCAAACAAATTTGCGCCAACAAAGTTTTAAGGCATGTTGGAGACAAAGTTTTAAGGCAGTTTTGGTTTGTTATTATTGAGTTATTGGTATGACACTATAAGCTTCTGGATTGTTCGTTTTCCTCAAATATTTGGCACAAGCTTTTGGATTCATGTCTCTATTGATACAAACTTCAATTCAACTTTCCATTTGAGATTGTCTTGTACCAAATGTGATTCTTCATGTGTTGTTGATCTCCACAAACTCTTCCTTAGCATAAAAGATCTCACATTCTCGGTAAAAGACACTTGAGAGACATATCTTTATTTCGTTCCTATGATCACATGTCGATACTTAAGTAGATTTGTAACATCTTTGATCAAGAATAAATGTGTTATAGTTTGTGAATGGACATATTTTAGTAAAAATGGTAAGAATTAGTAAGATGAAAATAAGAGGAATGAAATCTATATCTATACTATATAAAAGTTGAAAGTATAATCTTCTAAGTGTAATATGAAAGAATAGAGAATTAGCTCTATGTCCACACAACTATTCATTTTTTTTTTGCCATTTCTGACTCTTTTACTCATATTCAATAATTTTGTAGAAAATAAATAGATCAATGCCTTTGTTCTTTATAAATAACATTAATTGACCCGATAATTTATAAATTAACGATTAAATAATGTAATTCTCCACTAAATAAACCAGTAACCCATTATAAGTACATGTATACCATAAAAAATTTAGAACCTAGTTTTTGTTATGGACTAAATAAATTATTATAAAAATAAATTATTATTTTATTGTTGTTAACAATATATAATATTATCTACATGTTATTATTATTGTTATCGTTCATAATTATATATATTGGTGTCGGATCCCGCACCAGAAGTACGAGACCAACCAAAGATTGCCACGTGATCAAGATAATGGCCCATAAAGGATGAAGCCCATTGGACCCGTGAGCCGAAGGGACGGTCGAAGTGGTTGTCACCATTTCGAGAATCCGAAGTGACTGCACTGTGACACGAGTTCGGTGTAGAAGACACGGGTAAGTCGGTTCAAAGACACTTGGGCCAAAAGGGGCGAGGCCCATGAAGATCAGAGTCAACTCAAATTCAAACGTTGAGCATTAAAGTCGAAGAATCAAAACGGACACATTTAAGAAGGACTAATTGTACTTAATTATTCATTTTAATGTCGTTTCTCTATGTATAAATATGGAGGCCAATGGCCATGTAAAGGGGATCTTCCTCTCAAGAGAGAAATATTATAGCAATTTTTGTAGCAATTCACAAGTTTTTATACATTCATTTTTGTCCCTCAAGAATAATCTTTCCCACTTAATAAAATACTTGAGTGTGTGAATCCGACATCCACATTTTGGCGCCGTCTGTGGGGATATTAGGTTCTTGAGTGGTCAGATTTTTTCTTTATCACACTTCCGAGATAAGCAACAATGTCCGGAGGAGACGCCGCTGAGACATCATTGGCCGAAACCCTCAAAGCTATGCAGCAAACCATGTCGGACATATCACAAAAGTTCTCGGATGTGGAAAAGGCCGTCGATACGTTGCAAACATCTCAGGTATCTCTTAGTCAAAACGTCAATACTATACAAACTCGTGTTCGCTCTTTAAGTGCAGGAAACCCGGTGGGAATCCGAAGAGGGATATTCAACTCGCCAAGTTCCGCTGCACGAAATGAAACCAGCGGACAAACAACCCCCAGTGCTACTAATAATGTAGCTCAGACGTTGGAGGAAGAGACGCAGCTCGGGGATGAAGAACAACTTGCAGCTCAGTATGAGCAGGAGAACCTCGACCAGTTCGAGACCATGAGGAAGGTTAGCCAGGAATTAAAAGAAATGAAATCAAAATTTCATCAAGCTACAAGTTCAGAGCCAGATATCAATCGAGTCATTGAAGAAGCTAGGCGAACACCTTTCATCTCGCGAATTGCGAGTTTGAGGATCAAAGATTCCCGGAAACTCAAATTGGACCCTTACAGCGGATTGGAGGATCCAAAAAGCTATCTCGCAGCTTTTCTGATCGCTGCAGGAAGAGTCGAATTGGATGAAGCTGATGAGGACGCAGGCTATTGCAAGCTGTTTTCGGAGAATCTATGTGGCCAAGCTCTAATGTGGTTCACCCAATTAGAGCCGGGTTCGATCAGCAATTTCGACGAACTATCAGCCGTATTCTTAAAGCAATACTCCATCCTTATGGATAAAAGCGTTTCGGATGCCGATCTTTGGAACTTAACGCAAGGATCTAATGAGTCACTTCGAGTTTTCATCACCAAATTCAAAGGAGTGCTGTCAAAACTCCCAAGAATCTCACAGCAATCAGCTTTATCTGCCTTACGAAAAGGATTGCGACATGATTCAAGGTTTAAAGAAGACTTAATACTTCATAAACCAGACACAATTCAGGATGCATTCTTCCGCGCGAACAACTGGATGGAGGTAGAGGACGAAAAAGAAAGTTTTGCCAAAAGGAATAAACAAGAAAAGTCGGCAATCACCGTCCCTACCAGGAAGTTCGAGCCTAGGGAGAGCAAGGGACCAAAGAAGTTTGGGTCGCAACCCTTCAACAATACCGTCGGGAAGAAATTCCAAGGGAAAGGAAGATCAAACACTTGGGTCCGTGATGAAAGTCTATATTGCGACATTCATAAAGTAACCGGACATTTAACCAAGGATTGCAGCGTTCTTAAAAAGCACCTCGCAGAGCTTTGGGCTAGCGGCGATCTTTCTGAATTCGATATAAAAGATTTCGTGAAGGAATACCACGAAGCAAAGGAAAACTCCAAAGATCAAGATTCCAAAAGACAAAGGTTATCCAACGAGGAAGAACCAAGAAGATCGAAGGGTAAGATCAATGTGATTCTAGGAGGTTCCAGATTTTGCGGAGATTCAATAAGTTCCATCAAAAAGCATAGACGAAATGTCTTACTCAAAGCAAGCTTGAGCGAAGAAATTGATTTTCAAGGTGCCTCAATATCATTTAACGAAGAAGAAACGCGGCATCTCGAAAGACCGCATGATTGTGGATGTCGGATTCACACACTCAAGTATTTTATTAAGCGGGAAAGATTATTCTTGAGGGACAAAAATGAATGTATAAAAAACTTATGAATTGTTACGAAAATTGCTATAGTATTTCTTTCTCGAGAGGAAGATCCCCTTTACATGGCCATTGGCCTCTATATTTATACATAGATAAACGACATTAAAATGAGTAATTAAGTACAATTATTTCTTCTTAAATGTGTCCGTTTTGATTCTTCGGCTTTAATGCTCAACGTTTGAATTTGAGTTGACTCTGATCTTCATGGGCCTCGCCTCTTTTGGCCCAAGTGTCCTTGAACCGACTTACCCGTGTCTTCTACACCGAACTCGTGTCACAGTGCAGTCACTTCGGATTCTCGAAATGGTGACAACCACTTCGACCGTCCCTTCGGCTCACGGGTCCAATGGGCTTCATCCTTTATGGGCCATTATCTTAATTACGTGGCAATCTTTGGTTGGTCTCGTACTTCTGGTGCAGGATCCGACACCAACAATTAGCCCCCCAAGTTCTTCGAAGTGCTATTCCAATTCAGAGGACTTTAAATGCTCAAGTGGCCAAAGATTGCGCTCGAGAATCTTTCTGATTTCCCGCCGAAAATCTCATCACTCCTTTAATTTCGGCACTAGCCATTTTTAACCGAGTGACATCTGTCATCATTATGACCGTATATTGATT